ATACAAATTAACATAGATATTTATATTAATTAAAAAAATTATGGAATGCCTTCATTTTATTTGATGCAATAAATTGAATTACAAACTAAATATGAAACCATAGAGATTTTTTTGATTAGTGCAAGTACAAAATCTAGTTATAAATAGTCTATCATTAAACCCAATTAACGAATTTAATAGTTTATAATTAATAAGTTACATCTAACCTTAAAAGTATATTTTTTATTATTTTATTAAACTATTTGTAATTTTATCAAGTATAAAATTCATTCGAAAATATATCTGATATTTCTGGTTTTCTAAGTGTGCAATAATATCAGCTAAAAAATTATGAACAACAAAATTAAGTTTGTGATCAAATTTTATAAATGTTATGTGATTATACAATATTCTTTCAATGTAATTTTATAGTATCATTGGTATTACTATAATTTGAATCTGTATTTTACGTGGATAAACGTACATATTTTGTAAAAAATTTTATTTTTATTTCCATACTTTAAATGAATATTTTATCACATTTTGTAACAATTAAATACTTCTTCTTGGTTTTTTTGATTGTCTATTTATTGAAATACTAAATACCTATATTTATTAGGATACTAAATACCAACCAAATAATATTTACATATAATTATAAATAACATTTTAAATCTATTGTAATTTTAGTAAATAAAAATTAGTTTTGAAATTCTTATTTTGGCTAGTTATGTGTAATTTATTAATTCATCAAGAATAGTCCAATTTTTTTTTTAAAAAAAGTAGATAGATATCAATGCTTCAAAAGAATCAACAAATCATAATTATAAAATTTAATTAGGTTAATGATCTAGTTCAGAATTCAAAATTTTGGGTTGAGAAAATAAACCAGGATGAAGAATTCGAAATAGCCAAGATAGAGTTATAAAAATATTTAATTACCTATGAATAGAAAAAACATGGATTTTAGTGTTATATATAATTATACTCGTACAAGAAATTAGGTTTTCTATTGTTCTCATTTTTCACTTGGATAAGAACCACCATGAACGACGTGTAGTTGTCTCTGTCTCTGTTATTTGGGTGTCAATAAAAAGTACAACTGGGCAGTCTAATCTTGGATGTGAATAAAGTGCAAGGGGGTGGTGCGTTGTCACTGAAAGGCTCATGTTGATTGATTTCGATGACCCAGATGCCTACAGCTAAAGACAACTTATTGGGCTTTGAAGCACCAAAAAGAAGAACAGGTTCAATTATGATTGAAGGTCTCTAGCTTAGCATAGTTGCTAGTTCGAATTTAAAAAGTCCAATGTTGCCAGGGAATCCCGCACCAAACAGACAACAATGAAAACATTAATGATACGACGCCGAAGCAGGAGATATTTGAAACGAGTTACTTTTTAAAATATTATTATTTAAAAATTTATTAAAAAATATTTTTTTATAATAACACATCAACATAATCCAAAAACACACACAAAATTTTTTAAAAACAAAATAATAACGAAACCATTGCGCCAAATAATCCCTGTAAATTAATTATAATTGTAAAACCTGGATAAGCCTCTGACTCAACTTAAAGTTTCAGTAATTGGTTAAATTAATCTTAATTGATCTAAATTAATTTAAATTATTATTATATTAAGAAAATTTTTAAATAATAAAATTATATTTTATTAGAATTTTTTTAATTATCATAAGTATCTATGTTAACTTGTATAAATTTTAATTAATTTTATAAATTCTAAAATTAATAATTATATAATTTTTTGATGAATTTAAAATTTATAAAATTCTAAATTAATATTTTTTTAAGGATAAATCTAGAATGTAATCTTCTTAATCACCTCTTTTTCTTTCTTTCTCACACGCGCATACACGTGTGCACACGCCCCAACTGACAGAACTACCAGTTTCATAGCTATTCCATAAATTAGGAAGGGACCCTAAATTCTTGGGCCTGTTTTTCCCACGAGGAATTGATTTTCTGAATTTTTTTTATTTTTAAAATCCTCAATATAAACCCTTATAAATTAACATCACGAGATCATTAATTTTTTTTTTATTAATCTATTGATCTTATGTTGTATGCTTGTTAAATTATTTAATAATTGTCCATCCTTGAGGACCTTGACCATAGGATGGATCGTAAGAAATAAATTTTTAATTTTGATATATTTTTAATTTTTTTTGTCTATACAAAATTGATTATGAGTAACTAAATTTTGGCATTTTTCTAACAAGAAAATTCGGAGTATATACTTTTTTATCCATTTAAAACTCCATGTTTTAAATCTAATTTTTTAAAATGTTTTTAGAAATGTGGGTATAATTATTTTTTAAAGTATTTTTTATTTAAAAATACATCAAAATAATATTTTTTTTTAAAAATAATTTTTAATATCAGCATATCAAAAGAATTTAAATATATTAAAAAAATATTAATCTAAAAAAATAAAATACTTTTTTTTATTAAAAAAATATTAATCTAAAAAAATAAAAAAATAAAATACTTTTTTTTTAAAAAAACATGCTTTTATCTCATATCACAGCCTAGAAATGAGTGTTTTGCTTCCCAGATACTACTGCTAAATTTTTGCACCCTGAAACCTATAATTTGGTGGAGATCGGATCTCGTCAATTATGAAAATACAGGATTCGAGTGATTAAACAGTGATCGTGATCCTCCGAGCCTTCTAAAATAGTTTTTTTAATAAAAATATATTAAAATAATTTTTTATTTTTTTTATAGCAATACATTAAAGTTATATTAAAATACTAAAAATATATTATTTAATATTTTTCAAGAAAAAATTCACTTTTATAAAATATATAAAAGCAAAATGAAAAATTGCGTCAAACACCTAGTTGAACTATAACTCCATTAGCTCGAGAACCAAGTAAAAAATGAGTTAAAAAAACATCTATAGTTAAATTTTTTTTTTGAAAAAACAGATTTAAAATGAATTTTTACATGTAAAATAAATGAAAATCAAGTCTCCATTAATAGAAAGCATGTCATTTTATCTCGCTATAAAATTAAAATTTAAAGCATAATTATGAATGGAATAGTGCAAAAGGCAAAGACTATTTAGCCAATAAAAGAGTTTTTCCTATATAATTAAAAAAAATAGAAATTAGCCAATAAAAGAGTTTTTCCAATAATATTGATTTGAATAAAATGATCAATCGAAGTTGGTTTAATGACTTACAATTGACCTGATAAATTATAGATTCGGTTCTAAACCGGGTATAAGTATTTTTAAAAGATATTATACTTTCTAAAAAACCTATGAATCCAGTGGTGGAAATTGTTTTTTGGGAAATGGCCATGAAGAAACTTAGGATACAAGTATAATTATTTCTTGCTCAAAGCTATTACACAAAGCTTTTGGATAAAAGCAAATAAAGCAGCAAAGCATCTTCTCTTGCTTTAAGGTTCTCTCCCTTGAATTATTGAAGTGGTAATGAAGAAAGGCAAGCAGGATCCCAAAGGGTTCTCTCTCTTTGCCAAAAGAGAATTAATTTTTAATATATATTTTACCTGGAAATGTATGCATTGAAATAATATTTTTATTATTTTTTAAAAATTATTTTTGATATTTACTCATCAGAATATATCAAAAAATATTAATTAAAAATACAAAAATATTTTTAAAATCATAGAATTAAATATCTATTCATTTCAAAACAAATTTAACTATATTAGCGCTGTCTTTCCTTTATCTTATTTGGTGTACAGGAGAGGTACTGGAGAACTGACTTGACAGAAATTTGACAGCATCAGAGGAAAGCTAATTAGCTTGTTGAACTATCCTCTATTCATATGGAGCCCAGACAAGCATATGCTACCAGTCTTGCCACATTTGGAAGCAAAGGTAGGCATATCACTGTCTTTCATTTTCCTCAAATGATTTTCATATACAGCAACATATCCTGCATTAACCCTGCATAATTTCATGGTGTTAAAATAAAAGTAAAATTCGTATCATATTAATTACTTTACTGTAAATTATTGGTTTGTAATTACACTTCATCCATGTTTGGATCGTTTTAAAAATAAATGTTTTTAAAATATATTAAATTAATATTTTTATATTTTTAACTTGTTGATATAAAAAATTATTTTAAAAAATCACTATAACATTTCCTAGGTCAAAGAAATCTTATGAACAAATCACTATGAATTTAATTATTTAAATAAATTATTGTTTATTATCATGAAAATAGTTGTTTTTTAAAGTATTTTTTTGAAAATATATCAAAATAATATATTAAAAATAGTTTTTGAAATGTAGTCTGGTAAGAATTTGAAATTATTTTTGTAAAATTTATTTTTTTAATTTTGTGATATTAAAAATAAATTTTTAAAATTCAAAAATATTATTTTAAAATATAAGAAAAGAACTGTTATCAAGGGTGGTAAGGTTTCCAAGTGAATCATGTGAGGGAAAGCAAAGGCAAGTTCTCTTTAGAACTATACACTGCAAACATCAAAACAAGTAAATTGTAAAGCAGAAACCAGCCATCTCTCGCCCCAATTGTTCTTGAAGACATGCCCCTAAGCAAATAAGCAACTTCGTGCCACAAACATAACTGAAATCTTCAACATGTAAATATCAATTTTTCCCAGGAAGGAAATTTCAAACAGACTCATACTCAACAAACAATTACAACTCTTGCTGGAAAACTTTGATGGTAGATGCTGACAACAGCCAGGGAAGACCATACGCCCTCCTCGATAATACAAACCCTATCAGATCCTATCTGCAGATTCATATGTTCCGAGTACTAAATTTAATCAAGGGTTAAAATATCCATGGGCTGCAAAGATAATTCCGTTCACAAACATGTATCCTTGAACAAATTCCAACCCCAAATCATCTGTCAATTGTTCCACATGCATCCAAGAACTGGTCTTGTTAGGGACGGTTTTAAAGCAAAATCCAAATTGCCAGAATCAAGCTTGACAATTGAAGCTAGAAACACATCACAAATGTTTGATATCACCCCAAGAATTTACACTAGAAATAATTTTAAAAACTATTATTAAGATAACTAATCAAGTACATCATAAAAAGGGATGAAAAATACCCCTGAATACTGAGGACAGAAGAAGTCATCTACCTGACAGAACAATTACAGACTTAAAAACCATAAAACTAAACCATAATTCACTTGCACAGCAAGATGAACCTAACTGTAACCTTGATTACCCAGAAACTACTTAGAGATTCTAATTTCTAACAATCAGCTGACACAAACTAGATAATAAAGCTATACATAGACACAACACACGATACAAGACATAATTTTAAAGTCAAGCAATTCGACTGCTCCCCTTGAAAAAATAAGGGAAAATCGAAAGCAAAACATCAAAATCAAAACCCCACTATCATCATAACCTCCAACTATCAAATCCCACCCAACAACTTCAAACCCACCAAATAAACCTAATTCAAGCTATAGACTAAGGCCTAAAAGCTTCCTCAGCTCACTGCCTGCATCAGCAACGGGATCATTTTTCTTTCTAAAAAAACCAGGTAAAGGAAGAGAGCTTGGAGGCGGCGATGTAAAAAAGGCCGATCCAGCATAAAATCCGTTTGACTCAGTGAGCCGGACGCGAGCTGGAACCAGCACAGGATCCGGACCCAACCTGGCTGTTGAACCCAGACCCAGATTTCCATTTTTCACTGCCTTAGGAATCGGACTCCCTTTTGGAGCCTCCACCTTTGAGGGCTTGACTAAAACTTCCTCGCCGCGTTTGAGGATCTTGACTTGTCCCGTAACAAGGCTATTGTTATCCTTGGGAACAGCGGCGCGTGAAGGCGGGGATGAATTGGGACTCCGCTTGCGCCGATTGGGTTGTGCCCTGTTTGGGCGGTGGTTGTTAGGGTTTGGGTTCCGTGGGAACCTCATGCGTGGGGGATGTGATTGTAAGGGATTTTTCAGGCAATCTTGAGGATTGACAACAAGTGCTCCCATGTTCTCAAGAAACAAACAGTTCCAAAGGCCAAGATCTCTTTACAAGAAGATCAAAGAGAGGAAAAGAGTAAACTTTCGGAGAGAGGAAGAGAAATGAGAGGAGAGGAGAGAGAAAGAGACTTGATTTTGTTTGTGTTAACGTGGTCTTTCGAGATGGGATGAGTGTGTAGTTTTTATAGGGAAGGAGAAAGGACTCTATGCGGTCTCGGAGTTTTTCCCAGTCACATTAGGGGTGCGTGAGACACACGGATTCTTTTTCATTCTTTCTTTAAGGGTTTGAGTGCTTTTTTGTTTCACAGGTTCCTTGATGTTTAATGTTTAAGATAAGTATTTGATTGTGAAAATTTATATGCTTTACTGACATATTCTCTGTAAGAATAAGTTAACAACATATTTTTAACCAATACTGTATTACAAGTTAAAAATATGTATTACTTAAAAATATTCCTTACTAATTTATATTCCATTAAAAATATATATATTTCTTAAAAAATTAAAGATTAGTTCTAGTTAATTTATTACTAATATTTATTAACCACTTTGCTAATAAGAGTGTGAAACATTGTAATCAATGACGGGGAATAATATATTTACTAATTAATTTTTATATAACTCCTAACATCAACTAACATGACCAAATATATATAGATATTTGAAGCTATTGGGTAAATAAAAAAATTATAATTTTTTAATCTTGATAAATTATTTTTTAATAATTTATTATTATATTTTTTTATTTTTAATTGACTCAAATAACATAAAATTTCTTGTTTCATGAAAAACTTATTTTTTTCATGAACAATCAAGCTTATTCACAAAGTTTAATTTGAACCCATGTGTATTATCCTGGGATTACATCCTATATCTGATATTTTTCTAAAGTTTTTTTTCTAAAAATAATTTTACAGGTATTAATGTTTTTAACATGCATGTAGTAAAATAATTATTTAATTCTGTGATATATAATTAAATTGTATTTATTAGATATTAATTCTTTAAAAGGATTATACATGTGTTGTTGATAATATCATAACAATAATATTAATTTAGCTTTTTTTACACTTTAGAATTAGTCTTTGATTTATTCTTGTGTTTTAATTTATCTTTAATCAATTTTTTAATAAATATTTTTATACGGACAGAAAAAATATCATCACCTGAGAAATTTAAATTTATTTAAAAAACAAAAAGAGAATTATAATTTTTGCTGTGTTCGTGAATTGGAAGTTACAATAACAATAAAATAATTGAAATGTGTGGAGGCAAAGGACGTGCTTGTAAAGGCGCGTGTAGTGGTAGGTGGGAGAGGAAATACCACGCCAGTACCTAGGCCGATTAACTCGGCATCCGACGTGGGTTCAATGCCCGGAAGCCCACACTAAACTTTAGCTCTTAAAGTTTCTTTTAATTGCGAAAATGCCATAGGTCAACGAAACCATTTCATATTCAAATGAGTAGAGTAGCCTGTTCTTTGTTGTCAGACTACCGTTGGACCAATTCCTTTTCTTTTTCTTTATCCTTTAATAATTCGGCGGAAGAGCCAAAAGCCGGTTTCTTTTCAACTTCTATTTTCTTTCTTTTGCATTGGAGTCCGTTTGCCATTTTGCTTTCAAATTGTCAACTTCTATTTTCTTTCTTTTGCATTGGTGTCCGTTTGCCATTTTGCTTTTAAATTGTTTTTTTTTTTATTTTTGATATTAACAAATACTTTTAATTTTCTTTAATAAATTAGATATGATAATGTTTTTTAAAAGTAATTATTTTATTTTATTATTGATAATGGCAAGTTAAGATTATTATAAAATATTAAGAAATTTATTAATTAAATATTTTTAAAAAACAAAAACACTCAAAACACACGGTTGAAAACGAACTCCCAATTCTCTTGCAACCCACCTCTTCTTGCTACATTAATTATCATTACAGGAGAAAAGGAAAACCATTCAAATTAAAATTGAGTTGGAGGTTGGGATAGCTTTTTATTAAATCTCAACACGCCATCGATTTCATCCTCTTCGAACTAAAGGATTGCTGGGGCTGAAAAGTGAAGGCTGTATTTATACGGTAAAACCAGTAAGAAAGGATGAGTATTTAAAAGTTCTTTTATAGATGGAATAAAGGTTTGCTCTGTCAAAATATAAATTTTAGATTCATTTTTCTCATATATATCCTGTTCTAGAGAGAGAGAAAAATTGATTTTTTTAGATTCATTTTTCTCATATATATCCTATTCTAGAGATACTAAACATGTATTATTATAATAAACACATGAAATTCTCATATACATGTAATTCTTGAAAGAGGGAACGTAGCAAGAAAGAAAATAAAAAGGTGAAATTAAAATAATTATATATATATAGAGAGAATTTAACCATGCAAGCAGTGGCGGACGCTACAAGAACATTTTTTCCAGGCTTTTTTTTTATATAAGATAATTAAAATTTTAATTTTTAAAAAATAATTCTTATAATTTAAAATTTTAACTTTAATTCCTTTTTAAAATAATTTTTTTATAAACATGCTAATTATGCTTATCTGAAATACTTTTCTTATACCATGAGATTTATAATTCATTGGTGGTTTAGCATCTTAATTTTTTTAAAATGTTTTTTAATTTTATTCTTGCTGTAATAATAAAAAAATCTTTTAACATCATTCAAGGTTTGTTTAGTGTTGTGGTCTAATCATAATTAAGTTTTTTTTTTTAATATTAAATTTTTTTTGATTGTTTTATTGTATTAATATCAAAAATAAATTTTTAAAAATAAAAAAACTATTTTTTTATACATTTACAAACAAAAAAGCGTTTTGAAAATCAAGATAAAATCATTCTTTTTTCTTCTAACATCAAGCTAACTATCACACAAATTAAACCTACAAAAATATTCGAATTTAAATTCAAAACTATAAATTGTTTTCAAAGAAAGAATTTGATTCACATGAGCTGCTCACGACCATGGTCTTTCATAAGAAACATGAAAAAAATCTAACGGTTGACACGGTTTAGGATCTTTGACATTTACTTCTGATCAAGGGACACGCATGGGAAGCTTCATCTCTGGTCAGGGAACCTGGTAGATAAGGAAATTAATAAAAGCAAATCACGAAATGCGCGTGAATTTGCATAGGTGTTTTCGTAATTTAAACCAAAATCAAGGGGATGTTACTTTATGGTAATACCGGAAAACAGTGGATCCTCGGCGATGAGAAAACAGCTGGACCTCGAAATTATCACACGTGTCCATTGTTGAATGGAGTGAGGTAACGTTGGAAAAAGAGGTGGGTGGCTGACTGGGTCAGCCGACCTTTACCCGGCTGTTCGGTTGGACCGCTTTGGATTATTATAGAGTAAATGAACCGGTCAAAGATTTCTTGGGTGGGACAGGTGGAGACAAGAGAGCTTTCGGTATGGACAGGTGGCGGTTGGCACTTGTCAAAGACGTGTTCAAGACAAGGAAACATACATTGTTTTAATAAGTAAATAAATATATTTCTTGTACGGGCTATAGAATATTTCTCTCTTCTTTTTTTTGGTTTAACTTCTTCTTATCATGTTGTTTTAAATCATATATTTGTTCTAGAAGATTTATTTTATAATCTTGAAATTTAACTCATGACCCCATTTATATTTTTTATGCAATTCTTTAAGGACTAATAAAAGGACAATCATAATTATTTTTTTACAGGATTTTTACTGGACTAGTTTTTGTACAGAATAACTCAGCCTGTAATTTTTTTAACAACAGGGTTTTCTTTTTTATTATTTGTATGTATACAATAAATAAGAATAATTCTATTTATCATCTCAATTCAACCTTTAAAAATGTGCTCATTAAAAAAATAAAAATTTACCTCGACTTTAATGTTTTTTCTTTGTTCTTTTTTTTTTTTAATAACAATACCTTCAATTGCATGGACTTTGACTAGTGAACGTGTTTCGGATTTTTAGGGTATAACATGAGATAAATTTGTTCTTAATTTATTTTTCAAAAAACTAATCCTGTTAGCAATATTATTGTGCCATAAAACACAGATTATTATTTATTATAATAATATAATTATTATTTTACCCCTTAGTTATTTTATCCTTAGCTTTTGCTTCAGAGGTAATAGCGTGATTACTATTTTATCTCGTTGCATGTTTAGCCTTTATTTTGGGGTGGAAGATGATTTTTTTTTTATCATGATATAAATGTTTTTTAAGAATTATATGGAGTAATTTTGGTAAATGTATTTTGTGATGGATGATAAAATTATCAATATAACTCTTAAATAAAATAACATAATACTTTTTTGCACAGGAGTGTATTTGTATTTTTTATATTTTGCAGAACAACTTAGTTACTGCATCATCTTTACAGCTCTAATTTTTTAACTTTGATTTTAGGAATTTGGTTGTAATTTCACTGTAATTTGTTTATTAATATTATTTAATTCTAAATAAATTTTTAGTTTTTACACTAAGAAAAGAAAATATTGCTAACAAGTGGGTTGTAACTATGATTATACCCCCGTCATCTAGCTTTTCATGATATTTTCTTTTTCTCTAGGTAATTCATGTATGGTGGTTTGGTGTGGTATCATCCAAAATGGTGTTTTTTTTTCCGGTGTGCTTTTTCGTTTTCTATTTATACATGGCATTAGACTGGCACTGATCAAACCCAAGACCCAGGTGTGTAGAACCATAAGACCATCCTGTCAATGATGCTCTCTTCGTTTTTTCACTTCTCTCATCCTCATGGGTGTATATACTTTTACTCTTTTTTTTAATATATGTGTTTTAATGTTTTTATGTAATTTTGATATATTAATATTAAAAAAATATAAAAGAAATTATTTTAATATATTTTTTATTGAATAATATATTTGTAAAAAAAAAATATGAAACGCATTACCAATAACACACTTCCCCTCTCAATTCAAATCACCAAACCAGTCACGACTCATCAACATAATATCTATTCATGCGCACTGGAGGTTTACATGGTCATTAATTTCAAGACCTGTAGAATTAATCGTAATACACATAAGCTGTCCAAACACCCACATTAATCTAAAAAAAAATATCCATTCATGCGCTTGAAAGGTTAAACCATGTCCAAAAGTATACTTTCTTAACTTGAAGTGTGCTCTAACATTTTGGACTCTACACT